GCTTCGGTCTGACCAATGCACCGGCCTCGTTTCAGAGAGCGATGAATGATGTCTTTCGTGAGGCAATCGGCCAGTTCGTCTTGGTTTACATCGACGATATACTGGTCTATTCCAAGACCGAACAAGAGCACACAGAACACCTAAAATGGGTGTTAAACAAACTACGAGAGCACAAATTCTATGCTCGTTTGTGGAAGTGCCACTTCTATAAACGCGAGTTAGAATATCTGGGACATCTCATGGGGAACAGTGGATTGAAAGTCGATCCCAAGAAAGTGGCGGCTGTTGAGAACTGGCCCGTTCCACAGGACGTGGGTCAAGTCAGGTCCTTTCTGGGCTTAGCCAATTATTTTTGTTCTTGGAGAATTATTCAACCATCGTGGCCCCATTGACCACACTTACTCGAAAGGGTACTGCGTGGGAATGGACCAGACAATGCCAAGAGGCATTTGAAGCGGTCAAACAAAAGTTGACCAATGCTCCCGTTCTGGTATTACCAGATCCAACAAAACCCTATGATGTAGTCACAGACGCCTCAACAGTAGGGATTGGCGCAGTCCTTCTCCAAGAAGGACGCCCTGTGGCATACGAGAGTAGAAAGCTCTCCCCGGCAGAGCAGCGCTATACGACTTCCGAACAAGAACTGTTGGCAGTCGTCCATGCGCTACGAACATGGCGATGTTACTTGGAAGGTGTGGACTTTGTTGTCACAACTGACCATTGCCCAAACACCTACTTCTCCAGCCAAGCCACCCTCACTCGTCGCCAAGCCCGATGGGCTGAACTCCTTAGTGGATTCACCTACGATATTCGATATCAGGCAGGCTCGACGAACATGGCTGATCCCCTCAGCAGACAGCCGATAGGGGCAGCAAACGGGCTTGAGGACACCGAACATGTTGCCGTCTTTGCAGCTTACTTTGGTATCCTCGCAGTCGCCCGAGTGAGTGAGATTACCTTCAGTGGTTTTCTGAAACGAATCCGCACAGGCTATCAGATTGATTCCTGGTTTCAGAACCCACAGAATACGAAGGATCTCTCGTGGGAGCATGAGCTCTGGTGGCATGGTAAAGAAATTGTCGTACCACACGTGGGGAACCTGCGGAATGACATCTTACAAGAAGTGCATGCCAGTAAATACAGTGGACACCTCGGAGTTAAGAAAACCCGATGGGCATTGTCTGATGTATACTGGTGGCCAGGGTTGGGCAATGAAGTCCAGCAGTTTGTTACACGCTGCGACACGTGTGCACGTAATAAACCGAGCACACAAAAACCCGGTGGTTTGCTTCAACCACTTGCAATCCCTGATGAACCTTGGGAGAGTGTATCAATGGATTTCATCACTGACCTCCCTAAAACACGAGATGGTCATACAGCGATCCTCGTCTTCGTAGATCGTTTGACCAAGATGGTGCACTTCGTGCCTACAACCACTGACGTATCAGCGGAAGATACGGCTAAGTTGTTTGTAACACATGTTTTCCGTTTACATGGTTTACCCCGTGTGCTAGTGTCTGACCGAGACCCTCGTTTCACAAGCCGTTTCTGGCAGGAGGTCATTCGGACACTGGGGACGAAGCTGAAAATGTCGTCGGCATTCCACCCTCAAACGGATGGGCAGACCGAGCGCACAAATCGTACGCTTGAACAAATGCTTCGTTCGTTTATTGGCCCAACACAAGATGATTGGGATGAGCTGTTGCCAGTCATGGAATTTGCTATCAACAATTCGGTACATGAGAGCACCCACGAGAAACCTTTCATCTCAAATTGTGGTCGGCACCCCACAACACCTGCTACGCATAGGGCCAGTGGCTTGAAAATTCCAGCCGCTAAGGACTTTATTGGCAAGCAGCAAGAAGCGCTTAAGTCTGCTCGTCGTTGGCTGCAACGTGCCCAACAACGCCAAAAGTCTTATGCTGACATGAAACGCCGGGACGTCGCTTTTCAAGAGGGAGACAAAGTTTTGTTGAGTATGAAGAACATTCGACTCAAACTGCCTGGGGCACGAAAGCTGTTTCCTCGTTAGATTGGGCCATTCGAGGTTATCAAGCGGATTGGGGAGGTGGCTTATAAGCTTAAACTACCATACACCTTGCAGATTCACAACGTCTTCCACGTGTCTCTGTTAAACAAGTATGTTGCCGAAGGCACATACCAACCACCACCAACCATCGTCCTGGGTGAGGAACTATATTATGAAGTCGAGCGTGTGCTCATGCACCGTGATCGACAACGCGGCCGTAAAACCAAACGTGAGTTCCTCATTAAGTGGAAAGGCTATGGGCCCGAACACAATTCCTGGGAGCCCGAAGAACACTTGACTGAAACAGCAGTTCAAGCTTACATGGAAGACTTGGCTCTCCGAGCGGCCCCGCAGCCAGTGGATGGTGTTGACCCTGGTCGTAATGTGGTGCGCCGTGCTCGAAGCACTCGTCCTCAGAAGCACCCTAGGGCAACGGGGACGTTGCCACCTAGGGGGGGAGGAGTGTAACGCATTGCCCTAACTAAGCTAACTAACCAACTTCTCTCTAGGCGAATGTCGAGAGTAATCTCGACAAAGAGGGACTTGGAGAAGAAGGTTGCCTTTGGTTAAGATGGAAGGGTTGGTTTGGTTTTCCAAACCTCAACCAAGAGGATTGGGAAACTCCAACCCATCAAAGTGAAATCACAAAGGTTGGAATTCCAACCAATCAGAAACTGCCAAACAATTGTTACAATCTACTCTATCCTAAACACAACCATTGAATGGTTCTAAGTTGGGTTTTCCAACCCAACACAATTGCCACATAGGCTCCAAGCCTAGGAGCCATCCCACCATGGAAACCATGGTTGGGATAGTCCCCCAAGGGGTGTATTGAGGGGGTTTGAGCTAACCAAGCTCATTCTCAACCTCCCACTCCAACTAAACAATTGGAAATGGGATTGTTTCTCGAAGTCTTTTTGGGGCTCTCTCACAAGCCTTCCTACACAACTCACTCAAAGTTGTTTCATCAACTCATTCAAGAAGATTGACTTCCAAGGCTTCACCTATCAAGCTTCCAAATCTTGAGGCTACTATTAGGACTAGTCTTTACACTGTGTGTGTGTTCTTGGCGTTTTATAAGCCTACTATTGACCCTTTTGTGGGCATTCGTTTATAAGCCCGGGTCTTTATTGTGATTTTAAGGGTGTTTCCATATAAGCCCGTGTTACAGAAGCAGTGGGGTAAATGCGGGGAAGCTGGGGCGGAGATGAGGGGAGGCAAAAGGAGAAATTAGGGGAAACAGGAGGTTAAAAATAGGTAAATCAGGGGGGGGGGGGATAGGGGAAGCAGAGGGGAAACAAGGGGAAGCAGAGGGGAAAACGAGAGGAAGCAGGGGAGTAAATGAGGGAAGAAAAGGGGGGAACGAGGGGAAGCAAACGGAATATAGGGGAAGGTAACAAGAGGGAATGGAAAGGCAAGGAAGCGAGGACAAGGGATGGGCGGGTGGGAGAAGGGCAGCGGAAGTGGAGGCGCGAGGAGGGGCAGCGCGACGAGGGTGCTGGCGCGCTGATGGCAGGGGAGGCGCGGCGAGGCGAGCGGAGGCGCGGCGAGGCGAGCGGAGGCGTGACGAGGGGAGCCAAGGCGCGGTGAGGCAAGCGGAGGCGCGGCGAGGCGAGCGGAAGCGCGGCGAGGCGAGCGGAGCCGCGATGAGGCGAGCGGAGGCGCGACGAGGTGAGCGGAGACGCGACGAGGGGAGGCTCCCAGAAACGAGCGGGCTTGACGACGGGACAGGGGGCGCGGCGATAAGAGACGCAACTACGGGAGGCGAGGCACAAAATCATTGTGTATGCGCGGGTGAAGTTCCTAAATTCTGCGTATTTCACTGTGCTACGATGCGCTATCGGGAAGTTTTCTGGCTAGTACTAACACAAGACTGGTGAGGTTGGCTACTCGTTTGGTTGGTTAGTTGGGTTGGTTTGTCGCACACTCATACCGATATTGAGTGACGAATTCCCAATCTCCTCGCAGCCTGATCTCGCTTTCGCCCCGCCCATATTCCCGAAAAGAACTTTTTTGCTTTTCGCCAACACGTTTAAAGCCCTTCAGAAAATTTGCCAAAAACCATGCTGACCTCGGGCTTTAGGGATTGGTGATACAGGGGCTCGCCAAGGTCGAGGGTGTGGCAGAGAAGGTGAAGGCGGGAAGATTTTGAATTTCGTTAAAAGCGTCATCGGTTACAGAACGGTTGAGTTTTTGTCCTTAGCGAATTCACCTCCTCCACATCCATTTATAATACCATAGCCATCTGGTCTGCTAAACACTTTTACATGCAAATAGAACCTTTGTTTGGCTCTTGAAGAACTGTGGGTAACGATTTGAAGTGCTTACAGTTAAACGCAGCTCAAATAACAATTACCGTAAGGCTCACGAATAAGTCGTTGCACACACCAAGTTGAAAGGTAAAAAGATCATGGGTCCAAACAAACGAATTATTCCAGGCCAGTTCTTGTCGTTCATGTGCAATGTAATTTGATTCGCAGTCATCAGCATAGCGCACGCGCGCATCTTCTTTCACCACCCAGCAACCCAGAAAGTTCCCCGTCCTGCCAACCATGCCGTCGGTTTCGCAAAGGCCACGCACACATTGAAACGGTGCAGTACAGTCACATTACACATGCTGCTGCTGCTTACACAACCAGCACTGTGGCACAAGGAAGGGGGGCAGGCCTGCAGGGGCATGGGGCAGCCTGGGAGGACAAGCAAGAGGCACGGGTCACATGCGGTGAAGGGGGGCATGGGGAAGGGGCAGTGAGAAAGGATGTTTGGGAAAACACGGGTGGATGGGAGAGGCAGAAGAGTGGTAATTCATGAGGGGAGAGGGGATAGGGGGCAGTGGGGCACATGTGGGGGATTGGTAAGGAGAGGCATGGCTGCAGAGAAAACTCTGGAAAGGCACAAACTGAACCACTAGGACCTGATTTTTATAGAAGCCAAGCTTTGATTCAGCTGCAGGTGACTCTCAAGAGCTTACTTCCCCACCCTCCACTCCCTTCCTCATCGAGATAGAGTGTGAAGCTGGTATGCATTGCCTTGCACTGTGACGCACACGGGCAGCCATGCAGAGCCACTCAGAGCCCTGTGCTCCAGTGCTGCAGGAGGGTGGCGGGACTGTGGTGATCCTGCTGCTGTCAGTCACGAGGAGGGGTTAGAGGGCAGAGTGCAGCGTTCACGAGGAGGGAGAGAGGGGAGAGAGGGGAGAGAGGAGAGAGAAGGGAGAGAGGGGAGAGAGGAGAGAGAGGGGAGAGAGGGGAGCAAACAAGTTAGGCGAGCAACCCAGTGGAACTTGCCTTTTTGAGAGAGTGGCCATGCCAGTGAGATTGTCATGTGACCATGACAATGCCATGCCTGCGACTGAGACTTGCATGTGACCATGGCTGGGCAACGTCTTCAGAATGAATGTTAAAATCCGTCAATGGCAGTGGGAAGTGAAAATGGAAGTTGAGTGGAAAGGCAGCCGACACGAGAAGATGGTAGCGAACTTCAAGATTACTGAGCAATTTGTTACTATAGAGAGAGGAGAGCATTCACGCGACATGGCTCATCTAAAATGGCTCCGTATTATCTTTATTTGTTGCTTGATTTGAAAATAAAAACCTCCGCTTGACTTCCTCAGATCAGAGGCGATGAAAACTTGTTTATTTTATGCGCGAAGCGACGTGCTGTTTGTCTTTCGCATAGTGAAAACAAGCTTATGTGTTTGGCTTTAAAGCAAGTGAAAAAACTTTGTCGAATAAGCGCATGATAACTAACGAACCGAAAATGAATTGCAAAAACTGACGAGGGCCACCATGCTAGAGTGAAGTTGAGTTTTCGAAGGGCATAACGAGAAGACTCGACAAATGACAAATAAAAAAAAATCCAACGTGCAAAGGAACATGAGGAAAGTGAGCATGAGTGGGAAAGTGAGGAAAGTTGAAGATTAAGAGGAATGGCAGTGAGGAAAGGGCTGTCCACTATGCCTGCGGGACAGGCGGGATGTGGGACAGGCGGGATGTGGGACAGGCGGGATGTGGGATATGCACAAACCTTATATTTCATTGCTTCCTTTCACGTCAAGTCCAGCACCAGTATCACGGACACCAACATCAAAGTTGCCGTTGGTAAGCGGCACGCAGTGCAACGCATCGTCGATATCCCGGCACCCGATGGGATCCACACTGAACACACGCACAATCTTCATGCATTCTCCCATACAAAGACCACCTTCCCTCTTGCCTCACGTGCACATCCTGATCCCAAATCCGCATGGCATGCCAGCAGTACTCACGGACGCCAGCATCGAAGTTGCCGTTGGGGAGCAGCACGCAGTGCAGAGGATCGTCAGTATCCCGACACCCGATGGGGTCCACACTCAACACACGCACGTGCCGCAGGTCCTCCCTCTCGCAGGTCCTCCCTCTCGCAGGTCCTCCCTCTCGCAGGTCCTCCCTCTCGCAGGTCCTCCCTCTCGCAGGTCCTCCCTCTCGCAGGTCCTCCCTCTCGCAGGTCCTCCCTCTCGCAGGTCCTCCCTCTCGCAGGTCCTCCCTCTCGCAGGTCCTCCCTCTCGCAGGTCCTCCCTCTCGCAGGTCCTCCCTCTCGCAGGTCCTCCCTCTCGCAGGTCCTCCCTCTCGCAGGTCCTCCCTCTCGCAGGTCCTCCCTCTCGCAGGTCCTCCCTCTCGCAGGTCCTCCCTCTCGCAGGTCCTCCCTCTCGCAGGTCCTCCCTCTCGCAGGTCCTCCCTCTCGCAGGTCCTCCCTCTCGCAGGTCCTCCCTCTCGCAGGTCCTCCCTCTCGCAGGTCCTCCCTCTCGCAGGTCCTCCCTCTCGCAGGTCCTCCCTCTCGCAGGTCCTCCCTCTCGCAGGTCCTCCCTCTCGCAGGTCCTCCCTCTCGCAGGTCCTCCCTCTCGCAGGTCCTCCCTCTCGCAGGTCCTCCCTCTCGCAGGTCCTCCCTCTCGCAGGTCCTCCCTCTCGCAGGTCCTCCCTCTCGCAGGTCCTCCCTCTCGCAGGTCCTCCCTCTCGCAGGTCCTCCCTCTCGCAGGTCCTCCCTCTCGCAGGTCCTCCCTCTCGCAGGTCCTCCCTCTCGCAGGTCCTCCCTCTCGCAGGTCCTCCCTCTCGCAGGTCCTCCCTCTCGCAGGTCCTCCCTCTCGTAGATCCTCCCTCTCGCAGGTCCTCCCTCTCGTAGGTCCGTGATGTCTGCAGCAAGTGACACGGGCCAGGGCCGTGGCGGCAGACACGCCAACACTTTCTGGGAGAAGGGACGCGCATCAATGTCATTTTCCATTAGCAGAAGCTGGAGTGGAGGGGGGGGTTTGGGGAAGGGGAATGGAAAGCGGGAGAGCTGTGAAGCACTCGCTCTCTGTCTCCCTGTCCCCGAACTCAGGCGTCTTTAGAAAATCCCCCAAGGAAAACGCACTGGCGGGTCGCCAACCCCCGTTTAACCCTTGCATGCCCGTTTTCCTGGGCGCTGCTCATCATCACTCTCTCTCCCCAACCCCCTTCACCCCATTACTTCTCCCCACTCCCTTCTCCCTCTCATTCTTGCCCCGTCTCACCTCGCTCTCCGTCGCCCTGTCGCCGATATCCCCCAGCGCCTTCACGTCGTGCCCCGAGGGGAACGCGCTGTCGGGCTGCCAGCTGTCGATGGCCACGAGGATGCGCTCGCCCATCAGCTGGGCGGGCTGCCTTGTCTCCACGCGGATGCGCGGCACCCTGCGGTCGGCAGCCACAAAGAGAGCACGGACCAGCGCCTTGAAGTTAAGGACTGTCTTCCTTGAACTAAGACATTCAAGGACTCAGTTTCAGCAAAGAAAGTGCAGTGCAGCCCACATGCTCTCGCCCCCCTCTCCCACCACACACTCTACGTGCGCCAGTTGCACTTGATTATCCCCACCACTCGCCCCGTTGGCCTTGCCAGCTCTGACGACCCCTTGCCCCCTTCTCCCCCTCCCCTGCCACCCCTCTCCCCCTTGTCATCCCCCCCCTTGTCTAGGGCGAGCGCGGCAATAGCTCCACCGCTACCACACATCCCCATCCATCCTTTAGGCGGCCTTCCACCGGACTCACCAACAGAGAAACAGACTCACCAGCAGCGTCATCATGATCATGCTCCCTTTCTCGTAGAGCCCCGCTCGTCGCTTCCTCCCACTGCTCCCGCGGCAGCACCTCCACCGCCACCACGTCGCCATCCACCGCACAGTTCATACCGCATCTGCCCATAACGAGGATCTCGTCCTCCAGGGACTTGGACCCCACAAACGCGTCGAATCGAAGCAGGTGTAGCGGCTCACTCGTAGCTTTCCCTGATGGTACAGCCCCCGCTGCAGCCCGCTGTTATGGCTGACATGTTCTTGTGCTGGTGAGATGGGGGGGAGAGAAACATAACGGGAATGGAGTGGGAGAGGGCACAGGACAGGGGAGAAAAGGTGTTGAGATGAC